AAATATAAATATAAATATAAATATAAATATAAATATTTTACTTACTTATTTATTTATTTATCATTTAACTACCTATTTATTCATTTACTATATTTTTATTTAGTTTGTTTAAGAGCTAAGCAAATCAATAAGAATGAATAGCCTCCGCTTGATCTAACTGCTCGTCCTTAGAAAGCAGTTTTGTAGTTTTAAATGGCGCTGTAGTTCTCGCAAATACTGTATGCCTTTAGTCGCAATTTAACCTTCCTAAGGGATTTAAGCTATGTGATTCAGAAAGAAAAGATCATTTTGTTACTATCGCAGTCTTTAAGCGTATGTACGTCTACCACTAATCTCAGGTCGCTGGTCCTGTAAGTGGTAAGGCATTGAGAAGTGGTGTTTGACATCTGAAGAGGTAGGCATTCCACTTCTTCTTTTGACTGAACTTGATAGTCATGATTTTTTTTTTAACAATTATTAAATGAAAGGAGTTATTTAATTGAAGTTTTTAGTATATAAATGGTTGGCTTTAAGGCGTAGGTAGGCTGTAAAAAAAGTCGTGTTTTAATTTCTGTTGTTATTTTTTGCTCTTTGACTGTCAATGATCTCCATGGACTTTTGCACTTGCCGGGCTGTAAGTTCTGTGCAGCAAACGGTTGATGAACTCCAGCACTTATGGGACAGTGTTTCCCTAGAGGATGACCAGCGAATTAGGAGGATTAACCGGTTCTGCAGATGTCTGGAACAAAAGATGGGTCGTACTGTAAGTGGTACTGATGTTAATGAGATTTGTCTCTGAAAGTTTATTTCCACTACAGGGAAATTTCATCTATGTAATCTGCAGCTTGATTGCGAGAGACGAATGATAGAATCTGTGCATTCAGACATTGATCGGTGGCTGAAAGATATAAGAGAGCTGCGGGATATCCTCTTGCTCCCTCCTTTTAATTGCTCGGGATACAAAGAAGGTTCATATGCTTTGGTAGGCTTCTCAATTTTACTTCTTATTTTGATTTTTATGGTAAAATTTTCTTGCTACTTTGTAGTAACATTTAGTTTTCTGTAACTGCTCTGTGAAAATTCTATTTGTAAACTTATAAATGCTTTTTTATTTCCTAAATGTAGAGTGACAGGAGTCAGTCATTTCTGAACTGACTGGAATAAATACTGCTAGTAGAATTCTTTTTCCGGGAAGTTTTTTTAATGCCCTCCGATAGGCTGTCACAATTCGGTTCGTGGGGGATGTAACGGAGTTTTGATTTCTACTGTATTCGTAATCTTTAGCGTAACGCATTGAAACTAGAAAGGGCATTCCTAAGCACTTTAAAAGAAAACCGTCTAAATGGTCAAGTTTATATGGTTAATGAAGTTCTGGCGGTGGCAGCAAGAATTGGAGAAAAAATTAAGGACGTTGAGGACAAAGACAAAACTCATGTAAGTACTCAATTTTAGTTAGGTCTCTTCTAAAGTTTTGTTGAAAATGTTTCATTGTGACTTACTGTACTGCAAAACTACAAATGCATATGTTTTGTTTTTATCTTGAAGATTTATTTTAGAAGTTTGATTGAGTGAAATGACTGCAGAAACATTATTATAAAGGTTGTTCAAAGAAAAAAATTTAAACAAAATGCGAATTCTTTAGATAGTAGAGTTAAACTAGATCTGGTTTTCAGCTATGGGACGACGAAAGGATGAAATTTTTTCAAAAAAAAACTAAAGAATTTCAACATATTTTGAATGAGAGGTTAGCTCAGGCACGGCAATGGAAAGCAGATATGATAAGGTGGGCTGAACAGAGTGAAATAGCGCCATCTTCGGAGCAGGAGCAGTTTTTTATTGCTGTTGATCTTGATAACTCAAAAACTGTTCTTGACAAGACTTTTATGGAAGAGTTCAGGGAAACACATGAACTTGTTAGTAGCTTTTAATTTAAGCTTTGGCTAAAGTTTCAAAACTTTTTACTTTAGCAAGCAATAACAAATCGGTTTGTGTCTGAGTACTCTCTTAATACGCAAATTTGCCTAGTGACTTAAGTAGCAACGAATGTTGACACTTATCAAGAATAATCCTGAAAAATACTAACATTCATTATTCAACTTTTTTTTTTTTTTTTTTGACTCAGTTTTCACGCGCTTATG